CCTTCCTTCTCAAATGAAATTTGGTGATGTGTCTCCAGTCTGATAAAAGAAAGCACATGCTAATATATTGCTTTCTTTCAGAATTTTTTTATAGGCCCTTTAAAGGTAAGTTACATTTTAGATGTTGTAGTGATTTCTCTGAGTCTTAGAAAGAAAACAATGATGATTTCTTTTCTTCGAACTCCCCTAAGCTTACAGTTATTGTATAGTCTGCATATATAACAGCTAGTAGGAGTACAAAGTAGCAAACCTGAAACAAATCTATTAGGATCACCATGGCAAGCAACTTGGAAAATGGCAGGAAAAACGAACAATGATTTTGTAAACCCTCCAAAGGTCAGAAAAAGGCTTTCAGTAAGTATGCAGAGGCTAGAAATCAAATCCCATTTCCTATCATAAGAAACCAGTTGTTTTAGCAGCAGTGGTTAATGTACTGTATGTGAAAGATTTAAGACTAGTTGGAAAGCTTTGCTTCTGTTTTATTAGGCTGCTATTGAAAAGCCAACAGCATAACTTCAACTAGGTGCTTTGAGATTTCTTAATGGGCTGTCAAGGGCAAGACACCAGGTCTGTGCTATACTAGCTCTTTCCTGTACATTAAAACAACAGGGGCCAAATGATCATATACAGAAGTATGAATTACTTGATGCTTTCTCTGTTCCATATGGTCAGCCATGTCTTTGGCAATTAATCATGTACAGAATCAGTTGAGTGCTCTCTGAAGCATTGAAGTCAACATTTAGTTGTACCTGTGCCAGTGGGGGCAGTGGCGGTTGCAGGCGTAAAATAGCAGGATGAAGAGCTGCTGGCGCCGAAGCCAGAGCAGCTGGCTTCTATAAACAACACTTTTTTTCCTCTTTACCTTTTTTTTTCCCCTTTACTTTCTTTGACAAACACGAGCCATTTTTCAATATCATCCAAAAACATGCGAGTTGCTGAGTGAAACTTTGATATCTGGCAGAGTGGATTAATAAACAAAAGGCAGAGAGCTGAGCTTAATGTGCCCGAATTGTTGGGTGATAACTTAAAACATACTGCCTACTTGGATCATATCAGTGAAATTGTGTGCTTTTACTCAGGTTTCAAGTAATTATTTAAAGTAGAGAAGAAGGAAAGGGTGGTTTGTAATCAATTACTACCTTTTTATTTCATGGGAATTATGATATGTCAAATTACATGGCTTAATAGATTTCAGAGTTTTTTTCAAAAACACATTTCTTGTTGTACAGAGCTTCATCGGAGGTTTTTTTTTTTCCCCGAGAGTCACAAAAATAGCAAGGAAGATGCAGAAAGGCATTATTTTTTTTGTCCTGCTTACAGATTTCAAAACCTGCTTTTTTCCTTCCTGCATTAGTAATTTTTAAGCATTGTCTGCTATGCTGGAATAGAAGAGATTAGTAAAGACTCAGAAGTTTATCCTATTTAAACTGGCGATGAGGAAATTAAATCTTAACTCAGAGTGAAAATCTCATTTGTTGACCCAATAAAGTGGAGACCAAGAGGCAAACTGTCCCAAGTGCCACTTTAGTTCAGAATGAAAGGCTAATTTGTTTGACAGAATATTAGGCTTTATGTCTCCAGCTATACAAAGTTTCTAATCTTAAATCTACCTCCAGAGATCTGGAGGAAGTAAAATGTAGCCATAACGTGACTAGTATCTTGGCTGAATATATCCTGGGTAAATACCCAGACAGAGTTGTAACAGTTTTCATTCAGTGCCATGTCACCAATTTATATTTTTAGTGCAAAGGAGAAAAATGCTACATGGCTCTCTCTTAATCTTATTATTTCACTTTGTTACATACAGCAAAAAGATGTTCTGATGGTTGTTGCCTATTAGGTCAACAGAACTCTAGATCAAGTTCTACTGTTTTACCCAGAAGATGGTGAAGGATGCATCTTTTGCACCTAATTTTTAATGAGGACGGCCAGATTGACAACAGACCTAAATCTTCATATTTTTGAGATGGATGTGTGTGTGTTCTTTGGTTTAGCAAAGAAAATGCCCTAACTACATTCATAGTTTTTGAAAATAGGAAATGGGGAAGACTTGGTGGAAATATTAACAGTGCTATCTGTTGGAGTGCCATGCCGGCCAGCACTTCGTTTCTCCTTCGTGATAAGCAATTTGTGTAATCTCTTTGCTTAGGTTGTCCAGGATATGTTTTTGCCAGCTCAGGAAGCAGGAGAAAGAGTTTCAGCAATTTGTAAACATTACCACCCTCAAGAATCTCTGCTAACACAGGGATGAGATAAGGCAGGCTGGGGGGCTGGTCACACTGTTTGTTTGTTCTACTGTCCTGTGGTCCCAAGCGTGTTGAAAAACACCGAGTCAGTGTTGAGTCCAGATTAGAAACCTGAAAGCTTCACTCAGCATTGGGCAAAAGGGGCCTCTGCAGACAATTATCTGTCATTAAGGAACATTAAAAGAATTGAGACAGAGGGTCAGATTTTCTTTGACGGGGTACATAACTGTAGTGATGTTCAAAAGAAGGTCATTCCTGTTTTTTAGAGCAGAGGTGGCATCACCTGCATTTCTGATGTTTTTTAATCAGTGTTGATGTGAGGAAATGGCTTTCCCAGCTGATAACATCTTTGACCAAGTTTCTTGAACCCTTGACCTTTATCAATCAAAGTATATATTGAATCCTCTTGTTAAAAAAAAATTCCAAAAGTTACCTGGGTGGAGGAGGAGAAACCTTATAAAGGAAAGTGTTTTATAATATTATTTCACTTAGAATGTTGTTTCATTTTTTAACCATTTGAGAATTTTTATTGAGACAATAACTATAGCCAGTTATTAAGAAATGCCTCTTTAGAAGCTGTATATCAAGTAACATTCCAGAAAACTCTGCTCTCAGCATCTTTAGAAGAGGAGTAACTCAGTTAAATCATCATGTGATGGTGGTGGTGTATGTATGTGTTGTGTTGCTTAATAGTTCTGTGTGATCCTCAAGGTAGCTGGAATTGGGCTCAGTAAAGAAGCATTTATGATATCAGTGTCAGACTATCAATTTAACTTGAACTATGTACCTTCCACTTTAGATTTCCACTATCAAGATGAAGCTGTAGGTTATGGGCAGACAGTAGACAGGATTTCTTTTTCCCCCCCATCAAATTTTAACTGTAATTTTCAGTCTTCTAACTTTCTATGGTTTATATGTTGGGAACCACCTACTTAAGGAATCTTGATTTTTGTTGCCTGCAAATAATTGTACTTTCAGCTGTATGGTTGCATAGTGTCATGAAACTGGCTTTTCTGTGATCCTGGAGAGAAGCAGGTTTGCCAACTATCACTAGTTTCACCATTTCCTGAGGAGTTTCCCACCCTGTTGTGATTCGTAGGGCGATAGAACAGCTCCACATGGGAAATGCTGCTGTGCTGTGATCTAGTGGTATGTCCACTCTGTTATAGTGCAGAAATAACCTTGGCACAAGTGCTGTGTCAATCCTGCACACAACAGCAAAGGATTTCAGCCTTAATAGTTATATATGGAAAGGTGTAGCAGCTATATTTGGAAGACGAGCCATGTTCATTTTCATCTATTAAAGAACGTTCATCTCTTCTCACACTGGTATGGTCTTACCCCTCAAAGTTCTTCATCGAATGCTGCTTTAAACAGTGGGGTTGCTTGAAGTGGGCTATAGATCAGGGTTGTTGAAATGGGTTGATACTGGAGCTTGTGGAAAGATGTTGTAGGTCAATGCAAGGGATATCTATGTCAAGGAATCCTTATCTGAAAATATTCTGACGTTGTTTGCTTTCTAATGTCAGAATGGGGTCAAGAATGTGATCCTTATGGATAAAATTTTTTGAGATTATTTTTTTTGTAAAATGTGGCCTTTTGATGGCAGTAGTAATTTGCTGTGATGGGTTTTTGTGTTTTGGTAGACTACCTAGTACAGGTTACTAGAGGAGGGGGGGAAAAACCTTTCTGGGTATTGTCACCCAGTATTGGTATAAGTGTTTTCTTTCTCTATGGACCTTGATCTTTTCCCTTGAAACCATTGTGGTGGTCACCATGCCACCTCTACTCTATGTACTTTACAAGAATATAACCGGAGTATTATTCTTTCTAGTAGAAAAAAAACTGTCAGACCAAGGATGGATTTTCTGTTTTCACAAACGAAAGGTAATAGCGACCATCTATCTCCTGGAATCCCCGGAGGAATTTTAGCGTGTGTGCATTTGGGCAGGGCAGCACATAATGTATACTCTGATGTTTAGAGCGAAGCTATATGCTCTATCTTTTTGTCATGTTATTCCCACGAGAGAGGTAGCAGTTGCAGCTGTTAAACTTTGGTTATACCTGAGTTGTGTTTTCCAACTCCTTTCCACAATTGTTTGAGTTAGAAAAAAAAAAAAAAAACTATTTTTAAACTCCTTTATGAAAAAAAGGCTTATGCAAGCAGTCTGTCCTTTCAGTCATCCTTCTCCAAAAAACACTTAGATACTTTACTAAATCTATTCATTGCATAAGTATCTTGTGGTAACTTATAGTTCATTCCAGAAATGAAAAAGGTATTTGTTTGCTTGAAATACTTTACATTAAAGAGAACCTGAGGATATCATTAGAAATTCCTTTCTAAAGATACAGTACAAGTCGGAATTTTCTACATTAGCCTTAGTGAGGATTAAAGGGAATGGGAAAATCCCCCAAACAAATGCCATATTAGGAGGGAAAACCTCTGATACTGTTTAACACCGGAAAACATTAAAAACAAGTCTTGAAAATAAATGTTGGAATGCACAATGCCTTGTTGTGTTACTTAAGGCAATGAGATCTTAAGACTTACCATATGTGCCATGTACATTGATTAAATACCGAATATATGGTGGACACTCTGATCATCATTTACAGTATTGATTTGTCAGCAGTGAAACTGTAATAAAAAAGCCATTGATTTACTGTCCTCATTTGCTTATGGGCTTTTTATTATTTTTATCCCTTGTTTCATATTTCTGGATTATAGTTTTCATAATTTCTTTTTCTTTCAAGACCAGCCTGGCCCTCTGTGAAGCTGGAAAAGAATATCAAGCTGTAGAAGAAAGGAGAGAAACGATTAGTTGCCTTTTACAAGTTCTTAAGGAGCGACAAAAGCTTCGTGAAGAATGGACAGCAAGGTCAGAAATTTCAGAAAAATCATGTGATGTGGGATTGAGAAACGAGCATATCAAATCTACTTTTATAATACTTTGTGGGCAGAGGGGAAGAAAGGAGCTTGATATTAAACAAAACAAGCTTTTACTATCTGTTAGGATTTTTCTTTGAATTGAGTAGCCAGATGTTCCATTTCTGATTTCAAAGTTACTTTATGGGGTGGAATACTCCCTTACTGTGCTTAAATAGTGCAAACCATTGATAATAGCTTGATAGGAAGCATACGCATTTGAAGATTGCTGTTGCCTTAGAAGCCAAAAGGACTTCCTTATATTACTTAGATATGACAGTATCATCAATACTCCTTGCTGACATAGGCTAGATATGCTTTTGTCCTCCTTGCCTGCCACCTATCAGTTAGGATCATCCTGACATTATTCTCATGGTACTTAAGAATATTAATCAGGTTGTGTTGGGTGAGATCAGCAGGAAAATACTACTAGAATTTACAACAACATATGACTATTTTATTCTGACTTTCTAAATGGAATGTATTAGCATGGTAAAAAAGGAGACAAGTTGCTAACGGTTTATAAAAGCTGGGGGTTTGTTATCATTTGAAAAAGCTTTTTTGAAGGTAGCCAGAATGTATGCATTACATAACCACAGGTAAGTCATACTTCTAATTATTCAACTGCATGAGAATTCATAAGAGAATTTTCATTATATTTTGTCTTGTCCTTGCAATTTCCTCCTTCTCTTTAGTTGCTGAGGGAGTGCACCTCCCCTTTTCCTCACAACTCCTTTTGAAACCTCTACATTTGTGTTGCACAATCTCTTATATGATATCTGTGCATTCATTCTCATACCTGATTACACAAATGAGAAGGTTTAATTCCAAATGTACAGCAGCCTGGGAAACAGTACAAGTCCTGTGCTTGCAGTTGTGTGCAGTCCTTGACCCAGGGTATATGTATGTAAAGGATTTTTTTTCTTTCACGTTCCATTGCTGTATTACTGAATAATACAAGTGTTTTGGCTGTATTGGAAACGAGGAAGATTGCAGGAGAGTTTGCGTGGGACACATGCTTTTTGTGTGAGCCAAAATAGAAATCTTCTTAAAGGAATGCCATACCTAAACAGTTGTAATAAGTGGAGTACTCTTTTAAGGTCTTAGTTAAATAGTATTTATTGCTTTCCTAGTATATTTTATTATTTTCAGAATGTACTAAGTCATCAGGAGCTGTGAGAAGATAGAGGTTTACAAGTAATCTTTTTTCAGTGTTTTTGGCCTCTGCTTATTGCCAGTTGAATCGGAAGCTGGAGCCACTCTAGCAGTTGTAGACACAGTCGCCGTTGTCTCAGGCCCAACTGCTGAAGCCCTGGCGTGGGGGCGGCGAGCCTTGCAGGCAGACCAAGTGCAGGCCTCCTTAAACTAAACACCTGAAAGAAAATTTCAAGAGCACTGTGCCTTGAAAGCTCTGAAAGGAAGTGTCCTTTGAGTATTAAATATCCATAATCCCTTTGCTTTCCATTTGATGTTTCACATCCTAGTGACCTATCGGAGTCTCATCCATATGATCTGCATAAACAGGCTGTTACCATGCGCCTCGCTTGGCCTTATCAAAGCCCCAGCTAGATGTCTGGCATGAAGCACAGACTGTGGTAGCCATCAAGCACACGGTGGTGCAAGTTAGAAAACGTTGGCTGTGGTACTAGCAGAGCTGCCCGTGTTTGAGACACCAGCCTATTGTGTACTTTGGACTTACATGAGAAAAATGTGCTTGGACAGGAAATAATTAGCACTTGTCAAAGGGCAGGCAATAGGTTACAGTATTTTACTTTCAACAGGCTATCAGGGGATCAGCTAGATTAGATAATAGAATTTTTTTTCCTCTGGAAGTTAAATACAGATGACTCTAATTACTTTACATTGTGCATTAAGGAGTACATTATGAGCAGTACAACTTCAAGAAATTTAGGTCAACTAAGGGAGAGCAGCTGGCAAAAGCTTTTCTCTGCACTTAAGTCTTCCCAGAGCTCTGCAGCCTTGCTGCTGTTTCTTGGGTTTCATTTGTGTCATTGGCATCTTAAAAAGAAGAGTAATAAATGATGCGGACTGCTAATACAAACTGCCTGGACTGCTATAAATTTGACTTTTCTCAGAGAAAGATAGCCAAAGTTTTTTGATAAATCCATCTGTTTGCTTGGGTAAAGCATGCCCATGAACGGCTTGCTATAAGTAGTACCAGTGTTTCTCCACGTTAATCAACTGAAATCACTATATTTTCATTTATTTCAGCTCTGTAATCCCAAAGACATAGATGTGCACTTACTGTTATTGTTTGACCTTTCAAATGCTTGTGACTCAAAGATGTCATCAGTATCTCAAGTGTCTGAGCAGGTCTTTTAGGCATGCAAGTTGTTCCCTACTTCAGGTAGGACCCAGTGAATGTTGTGCAAGTGTTAAAAGAAATGATCCAGAGTTTCCAAAGCCTCCGCTTTGTTTACGCTGCGCGATGGTGTCTGATGGACAGGTTGTTATAGCTGTTAAAGAGTTGCTCGAGCCCTTTGAACCGACCCCTTCTTGACCTCTGCTTATAGGAGGTCAGTGTTCAGCTTGCAAAGCAAGGGGAGCCTTGGCTTCCACTGTAGCAAAAAGAGGGCAAAGAGAACAGCTGTGGATTTTAGACTGCCCATGCAAGCTGAAGTAGACTTTTTAGGGTCACTGTATGATAATGAAATTGTTACCAAATTATATGGAAATTTAACAGCAATAGTGGGAAAGAGAAGGTGGAGTCCAATGCATTGGGTTTGATAAATGAAGTGTGAAGTTACCCATCTGGCTCTAGACAGCCCTCTTTTTTTCCACGAAAGGGAAACGTTTAAGAATAACCATGGTACATCTAGAATCAATGACCCATACAGAGAGCTGGAATAGATCAAGATTTAATGGTGACTGTGGAAGAAATCATCATTTGAAAAGTGAGACAAAGGATGAAAAAGTACAGTTTAATATCTGCACCTGATTCAGTTTTGAAAAAGATTGTAATATTTTGAGTCGATTCATGATGCTATTGACATTTTTTAGTTACACCTTCTTGAAATGTAGCTTAAAAAAGTTACTTTATTGTGCAGTTATAGTTTGGATAAAAGCGAGTGCTTGAGTTTTAATAGAGAATAGTACTTTCCTAACTGTATATGCATGGTAGAGCTAGACAGTATAGGTCAATAATAATTGTAACTTTTTCCTTAATAGAATTTGTATCATATTATTTTCTTTAAAGTTTGTAAGGTTTTTTACTATCTTTTCATCTACTCGTACTTGCATTTATTAGCAGAATCAACAATAGATTATTTTGAAGAGTAATGTATAATCACAATGAAATTATTAACTACTAGTTAAAGTGGATCTGTTAAAATCCTTTTCATGCAATTATTTTATCTAAAATATTGTTATTGCAAGGCAGACTGGTGTCAGTTAGGCAATTTTCCCAAGATATTTACAGTGACACTATGTCTCGTAAAGAAAACTCAATCAGCTAAAGTTTTGGAGAGAGACAAAATGAAATAAGCTAAATGACAGGAAAAATAAGATTATGCATGATGGGTGTATTCTTAGTTCTACTCAGTCAAATTCTGAATTCTTTATAATAAAATTCTCTCTAAGTCATTATGTAATGACAAGATAACATAGTGCAAACAGAATAAAAGTTCAACAAATAACTTGAACCAAAGTAAACACTGAATTCTTTTGAGATTTGATATTTTTATGAGATAAGCGGTGCAAAAAATGTTAATTGATTATATCATTTAAGAATCAATAGCTTAAATCTGTGGCTCAGTGGAATAGCACAATGAGAAAGTCTTTTTAAGAGGCCCTTACTATAAGCAGTTGCATTTGGGAGATTGGATTACCGTGTAATTCTAGAGTTAGTATATTCTATATGTCTTTGACTCCTTAAAAAAAGAACTACTAGAGCATCTGTTGAGAGTAGGAATATCTGTTTTAAAGTCAATCTGCAGCCCTTATTCTTGAGCTTTTTCTCATTGCCATATTTGCCTCTCTCCAACCCCTTCTAAGAAATAATTTAGGTCATGCAATTTTAACATATAAATACAAAAGTGTGTATTTTTTCCAGATGCAGGAAAGGCTCACCTTAGTGGTAAGATGGTCCTACTGCTCAGTAATATCTGAATTTTTATGTGGATATTTTACATGCAACTTTATAATAATATTGTTTTAAGTGCTTATTGTGACAATTGAGGCCTAATCTATGGTAGAGCTTTCAGCTTCAGTAATAATAATAAAAAAGAATGAGAGTGTAATCCTAAGAAAAATAGGCATGTTAAACAGGGCAAAGAGAAGTGTTTTGAGATATTTTCCCTTTTGAAGAAAATGCTGAACATTTTTTGTGCTCCTTTTTAGCGTTTTAGGTCTCTCTTTAGGTTAGTTTTTTTGCCGTATAAGCTCCACCAGTGATGGAGACTGTAAAGAAGGGACATACTCTCTTCCTTTACAGAAAAAAAGGTCCCTGGGTTAAGAAGCTAGCATGGACTCTCTCTGCATATCTGAATTGCTTTAAAGTGTAACCAGTTTTATCTGTGACAGTTCAGACTCGTGAGACCAGAATAATGCTCCTTTATGTCACAGGACTGTCAAGAGGATAAATATATGAAAAATTGTGAACTCTTCAGAAACTGCCGTAATGGGAGGTGCACCAGTTCCTGAGACGGGCAAATCATGGGTATCAAGCCAAGTCTGATGGATAATGGGGTGGAGATATTAAGGTTGTTTAAAAATTGTTTTTTTCTGTAACACTAAAAGGATATTTTTTAATCGAAGAATCCAGCATCCATGTTTTAAAAATTAGTAATTGTTTTAGCGAGAAGCAGAGGCAAAATCCAGGCAAAAATTCACTACTTGAGTAATCACAGCAAAACAATCCAGACTATTTTGGTTGAATTTCTTCATATTCCTCTGTTGTGTGTTCTTTAGAAAAAGCAAATGGGAACTATTAAG